GTTTACACAAACTCTATATAAACACACAGTTTGAATGATGAGAGCAGATGCATGAGGTTCAAACTTATTCTAGGTAAGTGTGCACCTCAACTGATCAATACACAGTATGTAGGGGTAATCCAGGGAGGACTACTAGTTATGAGCAAGTTTTATAGAACTTCTGCATCATAATGAACCTAAGCTATCAGCCAAATATCCAGTCTTGAAAGTAGTCCTGTGCTTTAGATAGCTAGGAGCTCTGGTGGTGTAGTGCTTAAGGCATTTGACTGCCAACCAGAAGGCTGGCAGTTCAAACCCACCAGCCACTCTTTGGAAGGAAGCTTGGGCAATCTACTTCTTTAGTGATACCACCTCAGAAACCCAAGGAGGGGTCGCTATGAGTCCGATCCGACTCAACAGTAGTGAGTTTGTTTTTTTTGTTTTGTTTTGTTTTAGATAGCTAATAAATAAATTGGGCAACTTAAATTTGTTGTTGTTGTTAGGTGCCATTGGTTCCAACTCTTAGCAACCCTATGTACGAGAGAATGAAACACTGTAATTCTGCACCATCCTCAGTATCTTTGCTGTACTTGAGCCCATCATGAAGCCACTGTGTCAATCCATAGCTTTGATAGTCTTCCCCTTTTTTACTGACACGCTACTTTACCAAACATGATATTCTTCTCCAGGGACTGGGTCCTTCTTACATGAACAAAGTAATGAGACCAAGTCTGGCCATTCTTGTCTCTAAGAGCATACTAGCTTCACTTCTTCCAGACAGATTGGTTTGTCCTTCTGGTAGTCCATGGTCTTTTCAGTACTCTTCACCGGCACCACAATTCAAACCATCAGTTCTTCTGCTGTCTTCCCTATTCATTGCCCAGCTATCACATGCTATGAGGCTATTGAAAATACCACAGCTTGGGTAAGGCACACCTTAGTCTTCCAATTACACCATAAATCTCTCTCCAGATAATTCTATAGTCACTTCCGAGGCACTGTCTAATTTATTCCCCATTACCAATGGAGTGAAACAGCATGCCATTGGGACACAGAAAACTGGTAACATTGAAGCAATGTAGTACCATGCCAATGACTACATAAAGTATTACTTAAAAACATTTGTTAGATGATGCTGTGCATTATTTTATTAACTGCTAATGAACATGCTGAAAAAAATAGATAGCATAATGACTTAATGGAACTAAAAAAAATCATTCTTCCATGCAAAGTATAATGAAGTTTGTTTATATAACTATGTACTTACAGTATAATTCATTATATATATATATATATATATATATAGCTCTGGTAGCATAGTGCCTAAGGCACTTGACTGCTAACCAGAAGGCTGGCGGTTCAAACCCACCAGCCACTCCTCGGAAGGAAGGTTGGGCAATCCTACTACCGTAGTGATACTGCCTCGGAAACCCAAGGGGTCGCTATGAGTCAGGGCCGACTCGACGGCACATAACAACAACAACAACAACAAATATGTATATATATATATATGTATATATATATATATATATACATATATATATATATATAAATGAAGGAGCTCTGGCAGCATAGTGGCTAAGGCACTTGACTGCTAACCAGAAGTCTGGCGGTTCAAACCAGACTGGAAGGTTGGACAATCTACTTCCATAGTTATACTGCCTTGGCAACCCAAGGAGGGATAGCTATGAGTCGGGGCTGACTCCATGGCACATAACAACAACAACAACATATATAATGTATATATATATTGCATAATATCACCTGGGAGGTGATATCATGGTGGTTAAAGCTTGGACTATAGAATCAGAGTGTCTAGGATCAATTCATTTCCACCACTTAATAGCCCTCAGATAAGTTAATCTCTCTACCTTACTTTTTTCATCTTTAAAATAGAGATAATAATATTGCTTTACTCATAATATTGCCTACCTCGTTAAATGAGATCACATCTATAAAATGCTTAGAATAGTGCTATTAATAGTAATAAATCAGTTATTGTTGAGTTGATTCCAACTCACGGTGATCCCCTGTGTGCTCCATAGGCTTCTCAAGGGCTCATTTTGTAGAAGTAGATTGCCAAGCCTTGCTTCTGAGGTGCTCTGCTGGACTCGTACCTACAGTCTTGTGGTTGGTAGCTCAGCATGTAGACCATTTTCACAATATAACATACGGGTACAGAGAGAAAGAAAAAGACCATGTATACAATTTGGGAGTGTTTGTCATACTTTGGATTTTCAAGTTTAAGGTATGAAATATGTTTCATAGCTTGACAGAATTTATCATTTTGAGACTGTATTGATGATCTGTGCTACATTAATAGAGTCTATGCTAGAACTCCTAAACATGATAGAGAAAATCATGTTTTATTACATTTACCCATGGACAGCCACAGGCACCTTCTGTCAACAGAAAAACAAGCATTATGACTGCCTCTTTTCAGAACAGCATCTCCATATCTGTGTTGAATTCAATAATATGGTTACTTTAAAGGGCTCAGAAGACATAGTATTTACCATGCTCAAAATAGCATACCTCAAGAAAAATTGTAAAATGTTCCTACACCCAGCCGAAATGGTATTCTCTTGTAATTCTAGTTGCAGTTTCTGATATAACCCACTGCCACATTGACTGCCAGTACATGGTAGTGATCTTGATAACATTTCTGCTTTCATTTCAACTCTTGATTGGCCTTTAGCAGTCAGAGTAAGTGAGGCTGTCATTCCATCTCCCATCCTCATGAAATTGAGTTTTATGGAAGAGAGGTAACAGCAGTTTGAGAGCTTTGATTGACATCTTCCATATAGTTTCCTTGCTCTAGTCAAAGAAACAGTGTCCTGAAACTTCTGCCTATACCTTCATTTAAGGAAAGAAAGAGCAGATGGGAAGGACGAGAGACAGGGAAGAATTCAGAGTGCAGGTCACTGTGACATCCCCTTCTGTTTCCTTGGACAGCATGCACAATTTCACCTTTGATTGGGTAAATACACAGCATGTGCTTAACGTAGAGCATCAGACAATGGTGATGACCTTGTTAATTCACTGCCTTTAGTGGGGTAAGGTCAGCGATATTGGTATTTTACCTTGTTTTGAATTCACAAAATAAAAAATGGATCCTCAGATACGTAAGTATTTATTAAGACTAAAACTTAAAGATTCCTGTATGTTTGTCCCTTGGTAGTAATATATGAGACATATCTGTGGACACTTTTCAGCTTTTTAGAAAAAAAAAAGATATAAATATACTATTTTTACCTAGGTGACAAATTTCAGATTCTCCAGATGGCAGCTTTAATATGTTTAATATGATTATACTGTTAAAAAATAGCAATAGAGTTTTCTGTAGAGGAAGTCATTTGCTAAGAGAAAGCAATACCATATGATACATGAAGATAAGAACACTGCAAACTATTTTTGTTATTTGGCTTTTACTGAGCTCTCAATGAATACATAATCAGTACTGAATAAATAAATGATGCTGATGATGAACATAGTGACTTATTCTACCCAGTTTATAAAGTCCCTTGTTAAGATATAGTCAACCCACCCCTGGCCTGCTTTTCTCTGCATTGTTGATATTAGTCACATTATGGTATCTTTGTTTGTGTATGTTTGCTTCATGAACAGTATGGAATTTGGAAATGGATCAGAAATAGATATATAGGTTCACAGCAGGATTATCATTTGAACACTTACACCTGGGCCCCCTTAGGGGTTTTGAGACTTTCTGCCCAAAAAAATAATCATCAGCATTTCTCAAAGAAAAAGACAAATTTTGCCAGTCATACATGAAAATTGTCTGATTCATTTATTCACCCATTACCAACCCTATAATACCCCACTGGTACTGGGGCAATGCTATCCATTATTCAATATTTGCAGTACTCTATAAATCCTTGTAGAATGCGTGATTTAATAGTCCATGGTCACTGTGTTATGAAAATTAAACGTTTCCTTCCCATGAGTAAATGTTAATAGTATAAGCATTTAACACCTTAGTGTATTAGCCTGATGTTGAGTCATTGCAACTTTGCTATAGGTGGGTTGTCAATGCTACAGCCATTACATGGTACCCAATGTGCCTTAGGAAACAGAAGTGCTACACAAACAGTTGCCATGAGTTTCTTTTCTCTTTCAATGCCTGATGGGAAAATGTGCTGCTCAGCTAAAGAACTGGACTGGGAATAATAATCTTTCAAGAAGTCTTCAAACTGAGCTGCAAGTATTTAATTTAAAAACCCAGAAGCCACAGCTATGGACATATCCAAAGTAAAATGAGCTTACAAGATTGTAAACAGGGAACCAGAGACATCAATTGGCAAGTGAAGACAACTACAAACCAAAAAGAGGGAAAAGACTGTGTAGTCACAGAACTTCTAAATGGTGAGGAAGTTAAGAGAGTTGCAAGATAGAATGGACTGCTGTAACAAGTTCTGTATCTCACACCATACACAAAACCGATTGTTTAATGCCTAAATTTTTCAAATGAGGAATCAGGTACCCAGAGAAAGGAAATGACTTGTTTCAGGTCCTACAGCTGCTTAGTGGCAGCTCTGTGTCCAGAATCTGGGTCTGTTGACTTGTTGAACAGGTCTTTTTTCTCACATCAACCCTCTTTGTTCTTTTCCCAAATTATAAAATGACATTTGAGCAACTCCTAAAAACAAATCCTTCATGGGGACTTTCCTAACTTGCTGGTTGACAGTTTCAAGTACTTGACAGTGCATATGACAATATAATTTATCCTGTGACTGCACAGATGACATTCTGTGAATACTGCTTGATGCCACCACAAAATCTTCCCTGAAAGGATCTGAGCTCCCTATGAATACACAGCTCCCATACTTTTCCTTTGAAATATACCTGCAAATGTCATCCTCATGTTACTAAAAGACAAATGCCAGATATGGTAGCACAGTTATAATTTGCTAATTATAATGCCAAAGTCATTTCCCCCCACACACACTCATGATTGTTATATTTCTCACATGTGATCAATCTGTCCTTTTTTGCTATTATAGGTATGTGTGCTGGAGAGGCAAATATTTGACTTCCTTGGATATCAGTGGGCACCTATCCTGGCAAATTTTGTACATATTATTATCGTCATTCTTGGATTATTTGGAACTATTCAATATAGACCTCGTTACATAACAGGAGTAAGTACTCTTCCTGTCTTTTATTATTATTATTTTTAATTTATTTACTGTAATAAAGAAAGATAGACTGCAGTATCTTGGAAATGGTAGAAGTATGCCCTCCCCTTAAAGTATTATGTGTTTGTTTTGTTTCAGATTGAATGTACAGTAGTTGAAAATGTGAAGTTTATAGCACTCAACAGTGAATGTGATCAGATTGCATTTTCAGATTGTACTTTCAGCAAATTTTCTTTAATAATTACTTTCAGAACTATACCCTTATCTTTATAAATTATAAATTTATGGCCTCAGGTCTTCTGGTTTAACAGATTTTTTTGCCATTTTAAATAATTACCAGATTTTATAAATTGAATAAAGATTAGTTTAAAATCATTACATATGAACATATAGTATTGATGTGTAAAAATATTAATACCACATCAGAGTGAATATGTGACATACTTGAAAGCCAGAATATTCTAGATCATTTTCTCTATAATTCTCTTTTTGGGCTCAGGAGATGTATTTTGCATTCTCACTCAAGTGAAACTTAAAAATGCCTTCAAGTGGATCCCAAATCATAGTAATCCTATAGCACAAAGTAGAACTGCCCCATAGGGTTTCCAAGGCTATGATTCTCTTAGGAGCGATGACCACATATGTTTCCCATGGAGCAGCTGGTGGGTTTGAACCACTGACCTTTTGGTTAACAGCTGAGTGCTAAACCACAGCACCACCAGGGCTCCTTCCAGTTAAACTTACTTATCATAAAATTGAAATCCAAGTGGGTTGCAGTTTCTATGGTAACCATAACTTAGAATTTTTTACTTTTGTATGGGCCTTAGATCTCAGCCGTAACTTCATTAATGTAGTTTTTTTTTTTTTTAGTTTCATCATTTTTTCATTGCTTCTATTTTTGACAAAGGCAAGGGCTCAGTAGACATCCATTAAAAATTATAAAGCAGGCATGTGGAAAATAGCATATATAAGAGAGTGCAACTGAAGCTCGGTCTTATTCAACACAAACAGCAGGCTTTCTCAGGTTTCATGAAGGCTACCTTCTCATAAAAGACACCGTCTTATGACCTGTTCTTTCTATCATCTGTAACCCAAATAAAGCTCACTGTCACTGAGGTGGGCAACAAGGTGGCAGCTGGAACCAAGGGAACCGTGGTCTGGTAAGGATGAAAGAGAAGCCTTAATCCTCCCCTCTAGCTACCTGCCCAAGAACACATGCATGCCATGAGAATGTGTGGCCCCGTCAGTCTGTAAAAAGAAAGACATTTTCTGTTGTGGGACAGCATTTTTCAATGTAAAGACATGATAGTATTGTTCATTTTCTTAAATAAATTATAATTTGATTCAGTGTAGAGAGGATAGTACAGTGGTTAGGAGTGAGTTCTCTATAGTAATTATACTTCGAACAATTTTAACTCACCAAGTTTTAGTTTTCTTATCTTTAAAATGAAGGTAATAATTATACTGACTCATTAGTGGATGCATCATAAGCCATTCTATGAATGATTCTTGTTCTGGTTTCCTAGAACTGCTCTAATAAGAATATACGACAAGTGGGGTGGCCTTAACAAACAGGAGTTTATTCTCTTACAATTCAAGAGGTTAGAAGTCCGAGTTCAAAGTGCCAGGCTCTAGGAGCTGTGTGAAAGCCCCTCAACACTGGGCTTCAGCTCTGCCTCTTGCTCCCAGCTCACTGAAGCTAGAGGCATCTCTTCACTCAGGCAGCTACTGGATGCTGAGGCTGACAGGTCTAAGGTTAACAACTAAAATGGCACAGTCCCGATGTTTCCAAACCACACAGCAGGCCATTAATTCAAGTCTCTTGAAAGTCCCAAGGTTGGCAGAGCATGGCAGGCTGCTGAACAACAACACGGCTGCATGCAGGGTTCAAACGTGCCATAGGCTAAAGACTGTTCCCAAATCTGCTTCTTATATACTGGAAGCAGACCACATACCTAAAGCAGCTACTCAGCTGCTTGTGGTAATTCACACCATAGAGTTGATTGCCAGTCTCATCATGGGGAATAACTACCACCAGCTGCCCAGCCACTTAACCAGGCCCAGACAAGTTGACACACAAACATAACCACCACAATTCTTAATTTAACTTTCCTCTGCTATTGGTTTCTATTACTATTAAACTTCTAGGCTCTTTTATAACTTTATTTTTATAAATAATGCTACTCTGTGATCATCCTATAAATAACTTGCCTTTTCTGATTAAGTGCATGGAATAAGAATCTAGATGTGGATCAAAATATTTTAACAGATTAAAACTCAGAGGTTTTGTTTTGAGGAGAAATTGAACTACTCCATAAAATGTCCTGCACTTGACTGCCAATCAGAAGGCTGGTGGTTCAAACCCACCAGCCACTCCTCAGAAGGAAGATGGGGCAATCTACTTCAGTTGTGATACTGCCTCAGAAACCCAAGGAGGGGTCTCTATGAGTCGGGTCTGACTCGACAGCACATAACAACAACAACAATAAAATGTCCTAAGCACAATGCATGGTACCTAATAGGTCCTCAAAAAGTAATATCCTTCTCTATCATACGATTATTTGAAAAAATATTAAATTACATACTTCAGCAATAGGATGAAAGATAATTTAAAATGAAGAAAGATATATATTTATTCTAAGCTAGTACAACTCTTTGAAAACTCAAAGTTATCTATTTATTCTAAGCTAGTATAACTCTTATGAAAAACTTTATTTTATGTATCAAATTGGTGTTGTTAAGTGCCACTGAGTCAGCTCTGACTTATAGTGACCCTGTGTACAACAGAACAAAACACTGCCCGGTCCTGTGCCAGCCTCATAATCCTTGCTATACCTGAGCCCATCACTGGAGCCACTGTGTCAATCCAGCTTGTTCATTGACCCTTCACTTTACAAAGCATGAAATCCTACTATAGGAAATGGTCCCTTCAGACAACATGACAAAAGCAGGTGAGACAGGAAGTCTGGCCATTCTCGCTTCCAAGGAGCATTCTGGCTGCATTTCTTCCAGGATAGATTTGTTATTTCTTCTGGCACTCCATGGTACCTTCAGTATTCTTCACCAGTCCCACAACTCAAAAGTATCAACTCTTCTTTGGTCTTCCTTACTTATTGCCAGGCTTTCACATGCATATGAGGTGATTGAAAATACTGTGGCTTGGGTTGGGCACACCTTAGTCTTCAAAGAGGTATCTTTGCTCTTCAGCACTTTAAACAGGTCTTTTGCAACAGATTTGCCAAGTGCTCATTTGATTTCTTGACTGCTGTTTCCATTGTTGTTGATTGTAGAACCAAACAATGTGAAGTCTTTGACAACTTCAATCTTTTCTCCATTTATCCTGAGACTGCTTATTGGTCCTGTTGTGAGGATTTTCATTTTCTTTATGTTGAGATGTAATCCATACTGCAGACTGTAGTGTTTTATCTTCAACAGTAAGTGCTTCAAGTCATCTTCACTTTTAGCAAGTAGTGTCATCTGCATATTGCAGGTTGTTAATGAGTCTTCCTCCAATCCTAATGCCATGCTTTTCTTCATATAGTCCAGCTTCTCGGATTACTGGCTAAGCATACAGATTGAATAAGTATTGTGACAGGATACAACCCTGGCACATTAGATTCCTGATTTAAACCACGCCCTATCGCCTTGTTCTGTTTGAGCAACAGACTCTAGGTCTATGTACAGATTTTTTATGAATACAATCAAGTGTTCTGGAATTCTCATTCTTCTCAGTGTTACTTGTAATTTGTTATTATCCTCACAATTGAATGTCTTTGCACAGAAAATAGAACAAAAGGAAACATTTTTTCTGGTATTTTTTGCTTTCAGCCAAGATCCATCTGACGTCAGTAATGATATGTCTCATTCCACATCCTCTTCTGGATCCAGCTTGCATTTCTGGAAATTCTCTGTCACTATACTGCTGCAACCATTTTTGAATTATCTTCAGCAAGATTTTACTTGCATGTGATATTAATGGTACCTACTTTGGTCATGTTGTCAGAAGGAACCATTCCCTGGAGAAGGATGTCATACTTGGTAAAGTGGTAGGTCAACAAAGAAGGGGAAGGCCCTCAGTGAGATGGATAGACACAGTGGCTGCAATGATGAGTTCAGGTATAGAAATTATCATGAGGCTGGCACAAGACCAGGCAGTGTTTTGTTCTGCTATGCTAGGGTCGCTATGAGTCAGAGACGACTTGTCAGCACCTAACAACAGAAAGAAAAAAAAAAAACACAGTGCTGCGATGAACATGGGTGTGCATGTATTTGTTCTTGTCCTGGTCTCACTTCTTTAGAATACATACCTAGTAATGCAATTGCTGGGTCAAATGGTATTTCTAATTCCAACTTTTTAAAGAATCACCATACTGTTTTCTAAAGTGGTTGTATCATTTGCCAATCTCACCAACAGTGTATGAGAATCCCAATCTCTCCATAACCCCACTAGCATTTGTTATTTTCTGTCTTGTTGACTTTGGTATCTCATTGTTGTTTTGATTTGCATCTCGTTAAAGGCTAATGATCATGAACATTTCTTCATGTATTTGTTGACCACCTGAATATCCTCTTTGGTGAAGTGTCTATTCATGTCTTCTGACCATTTTTAATTGGATTATTTGTCTTTTTGTTGTTGAGGTGTTGGTGTTTTCTATAAATTTTAGAGATAAGTGCCTTGTCAAATATGTTATTGCCAAATATTTTTTTCTTAATCTGTAGATTCTCATTTTACCTTTTTGAAGAAGTCTTTGGAAGCACATAAAAATTTAATTTTTAGATGATCCTATTCATTTAGTTTACTTCTGCTGTTTGTGCATTTTAGGTTATGCTTGATAGTCTGTTTATGCCATTTATTACAGCTGCTAACATTGCCCTATTTTTTCCTTGAGGAACTTTATAGTTTTAGATTTCACATGTAAGTCCTTGATCCATCAGGAGTTAGTTTTTGTGTATTGGGTGAGGTACAGATCTTGTTTCATTTTTCTGCAAATGGCT